ATCAATTATCAATGTTTACATTGCGATTTGCTATTTACTCTACGCTAGTTATGTAGTACACCTCTTTAAAATATACATACATATGTAGTTATTTGCTTGAATATAATAAGTACTCTCTAACATAATTATGTACTATGGTCGATGATACTGGCTGATACTAGCGGGATCGTCTCCAAAGGAAAAACGTAGCCTTTGTCGCTCTCTAAGCTCCTTGAAGCATAAAAATATCACCACAAATAGTATCATAATAATCTATGAATAACGTAATTAGGTACAATTAGACACCGGTCATATTTACTTTTAAAAATATTTTACAATAATACAAACTGCTATACATACACAAATCTTCATCAACACATCTGCAAAGCTAAACTACATGTTCAAATCCAACCCCTCAACTATAACAACTGAATCCAGTTCACAACCATTTACAAAGTTCACTAGAAACTACAAACGGGTTCAAGCTATCTCCTGCAGCCAAAATGAAATAGGGTTCAGAGATTTTGTGGGAGGTGCCCCACTTCGGTACGGAGCGGCGCCCGATCGGCGGGCCGTCGTGCCGGCGCCGTCTCGTCTCCAAAAACCAGATAAACCGGCGCCTTGGAAGACTCCCAGGTTTTTTTGCTTCAGATATAGGCCTCGAGGTCACCCCTCCGTTATGTTAATGGGGCCGGGAAAACCCTATGGTGTACAAAATATTATAATTTGTCAGTGTCGCTCGTGATAGGTCATTTTTCTAATGTTAAGGACGTTTTTGTTTGTTTTTTTTATCATTGTCAAGTTTGTTGCGTCGTCTGTGGGTTGATGGTGCGTGAAATATTGTTCTAATGATACTTTGGCAGCTATGAATGGTGCGTATATTTTGAGATATGGTTATTAGTGATCTGTAGTTGCTGGACTTATGTACTAATGTTTTTAGAGCATTGAGTGTATCTTTGTTAAAGTTTACTTTAAATTAATTCTGATAACATTGTAGAGGAAAATTGCGTACAACTAGTATATGATTTGAGTGTACAATAATGTTAGTCTTTCCCTGAAAGACAAAACATGCGAAGAAGATGTTGTACCCAATTTATGCAAAGTAAAAAATCTATCTAATCAATGATAATGTATCCACAAATCTTTTACCATATTAAATTGTTTAGCCCAAAGTTCATCAGCTTAGCTCAGTTCATTGACCTCACAGTAAAATTTCCTTATAAGATTGATTACTTCTGTATCTACAGCCCTTATTACGTGCGATATTTGTGTGAAACAGGATTTTGTACTTACTGTTCTGCGCGATAAGATTGAAAGTGGCTTGCGTTTTTATTCTAAAGCCTTCAAGCTCATCTCTTTGTCTGTTTTGTTAAACTTAACATATCATTACGCTTGTCATGACTTGAAAGGGTAGGTACAATGTACTGGATATGTATCAATTTGAAACATATCTAGTACAAGTACAGACAAGTAAAATACATATGTCTACATTATGTTTTTTACTTGTAATAAGTTCCTATGGTTTATGTTGTTGCTTGCGTCAATGAAGATTAATAAGTCCTCTATAGGTCTCTCTGTCACTCTCTCCCAAACTTCTAATCATTTTCATACCAAAATACTTGGTTTTAAATTACTTTTTGACATTCCTCGTGTGTTACTTCTGTGATAAACTAAAATCGATCTAGAGGTTTTAGATTAAGGTTAGTTTTGTCCTATCGTAATTCGCTTCATATTTTAGACGTGAATGCATAACAAACGTAATTATTATTACCTAAAAAGCAACCAAGTAGTTTAAGTTCACGTACATTAAGAGTCTGTATAAATAACGCCCATGTGTTATAGTCGCGTATACAGACTCTTAATTTATATGTTGTCTGTTATATTTTTGAATCTGAAGGGCATAGCCAAGGGCTTTTTTGAATGTCAATTGTACGGGTGAATGTACTGCGTCTAAACAAATATGGCCGCTGAAGTACTAGCTATATGCATATTTTTTTGAAACTCCTACATTTTTAAGCTGTGGTATTTGGTTATTTAGTGTTACGTTATGAATTTTTTTATGATTTGAGTCTGTAAACGAGCAGACGGGTCACCTGATGGTAAGCATTCGGCGTCGCCCATGGACACCTGGAACAACAGAGGCGTGCGTGCGTTACCGGCCTTTTGGGGATTAGGAATTTAAGTATTGTTGGGGATTCAGAGATAAGGAAGATTAGGGAAGAGGGAGAGAGGAAATTGGGCCTCCGGTAATCTCACTCACACGACGAAACATAACGCAAGCGTTGCTTCACGTCGGTTTTTTGTGAGGCTGTGGTATCACTTTGGTTGAGCCGGCCCATGCCGTGCGCTGAAGTATGGCCCTCCCACACTTATACTGTAATTTAGTGTTTGCTTGTCATTACGGCTCCCCTAAGCAAATGGCATATAAACTGCAGTCAAAAAGTTAATGAAAAAAATCCGTTGTAAAATATGTAGGTGCGGCTTGCAAATAAATTAATTTGATTTGGTTTTATAATGCATGGGCTTGACACAAGTACTACTCACGGCTCCTAACAATAACTTTCTCTTTTATCATTGGAAAAAGGTTCAAACCATTTCTCTAGAAGGCTGGTAGTAATATTTTAAAAAGATTCGATAGCGATGTGAAAAGCTGGTTGTACTGCTAGTACTCGTTTTATTGCAATGTGTTGAAGGGATTACGCAGTCAAAAATGCACTCTCAGATGACAGTTGAGCATAAGTTTACACAAAATACTCAAATTATACACAATAACTTCATTTGCAATAAAGTAAACCAACTTCAAACACAAACAATACCGTATACAATAAGTTCGTTTACTTACAATTTACATAACTAACAGATAAAAATAAATACACAAAATATCCCCAAAGTCCAAATAAAGCTTCGTTTACCGAACCGAACCCCACACCGCCCGATGCGGCAACTCGATCAATTATTCAATTACACAAAGTGACCAAGTTGTCAAAATGTAACCGTTGCCTCGACGACGGAATCGGATAATATGGAAACGGGCCAAATACGTTTTCGTTTTGTATTAAATAACTAAATATAGCAATACTATATTTTAGCGCCGGTTTTGCGTGCGCATTTCGTAGTACTGACCACTAAATGTATAATATTCAAAATTC